ACCGGGAAGGGTGCTGCCGCGCTGGCCGCCTCCCAGGCCCGCGCCTCGGCTGCTGGGGATCCCGCGCTGCCTCCGCCCGCGGGGGCTCCCTGGAGGCGGCGCCCGCAGGCGTCCTCGTCTCCAGGGTCACCGGCATGGACTGCGCCCTCGGCGCCCGCCCGCCGATCCCAGGCGCGCTAATGCCAGCACCGCGCGCGGCCTCTTTTCAGGACAGAGCCTGCTCCTGCTGGACCGCCGGGGGACACCCTTCTGCGCGGGGTCCGGGCACCCTATTCTGCAGCAGAGGAAACCCGGCAGGTGACCTTTCCCAAGGTCACACCACTAGAGACAACAGAGGTGCCACTCCAATCCAGGTCTCTCGCTCCATCTCCAGCCCTGGCTCTCCTCAGACACAGACGCCCACACCTCACCCAGAGGCACACGCTCCCTGCTCCCCACTCTCTCCGAAGGCCCTTCCAAGACCACACTGTTTTTTTTTCCCTCGTGGAAGGTGGCCCTCCCCACCCCCAGGTCCTCCTGTCTCCAGGAAGAGATGAGAAGAGGTGGCCTGGAGCCCCCCAGCTCCAGCTTCCAGCCCCGGCGCACTGAGGCTGCCAGGAGATGCGGACCAGGGGTGAGGGAAATGTGGTTCCAGGCAACACCGGGTACCCCGTTTCTGCTCATGTTCTCCCTACAGCTAGCACCCAGGAGCCCTCACTTCCAGAAAAGTGAGCTGCCAAGGGTTCCAGTACCCCGCAAACAGCTGCTCCCGGCGCTGCCTACCTTCAAGACTTGAGGGGTCCTCATTTTCCGCATCTGTAAGACAGGACTGGACGCAGCCCCCTGCAAGCCCGAGGAACCCATGAAGGAAGCCCTCACCAAGTGCTGTGAGCCAGCACTTCTCACTCTAGAACAGCTCACCAGGTGCGATTCATCCTCCGATGAATAAGCCAGGCCAGAGGGGGAGTGACTTCGGGGCCTAGTCACCACGAGTGACAGCCTGAGCCTGCCATCAATGATTCATATGCTCTCCACTCCACCACGGATGCTGGATCACTGCCCCCGGAGCTGTGCGATGAGCCGCCCTGCTGGGGGGGGGGGACAGCCACCAAGACCTGCCCACACCAACCTCACCTCAGGACAAAGGGCAGCCATGAGCCACCGCCCAGAGTGGAGAGGCCACTGATAAGGCAAGTGGGAGGCTGGGCTTCCCCTCCCCTTGGCTCCTGCCTCCGGTTGTCCCCACCAGGTGGGGGTCCCTGATTCATCCTGCCCCCCAGTCCATGCCCTACCCTACTCGTGTACCCCACTGTGAGGTAAGGGAAACAGCAGTACTGTTGCTGCTGGGGTCACCCCAGCCTATCAAGACGGCAGGCACTGTGCCAACCACACTCCACAACTTTCACTTAACTCTCCACGCACAACCTGGTCGTTAAAGGGGCCGGGCCTGCCATCCGCGCACAGCCGTAAACTAAGTCGCTCGCTGCCATGGAGCTGGAAATGACTCACAGCAGACCCTCCAGCAGTTTTTCCGAGGCTGGAAATCACAGGAGGAGACTGCCCATCCTCCTCCAGAGGAGCAGCTAGTGGATTTGAACCATGAGCCGTTCCGTGGCAGCACAGCTCCTTACCCACGAGACCATGGGAATTCTGGGGTCGAGCCTTCGCACTGAGTTTCTAAGCCCCGTCCCCACCCCATGATGGTGTAAAGCGTGGGCCACTAAGCCCTGGTTCTGAGGGTCATGCTGCTGTCCACCTGGGAGAGCTGCTGCTGTGGCTCCTTGGGCCCTGACTTCTCCTCCCCCTCCTGGCTGTCTCCCTGCCCCCAGCTGGCCTACAAACCCCCGCCCGCCTGTGGGCAGCACCTCCTCTGAGTCCCCTGATCACCAGCCACCAAGCACCGTATTATTTATTTACACAGCCTTCTTCCCACGTGGGTGGGGCCGGCTCGCCCTCTCCACTGGGCTGGAGGACTGAAGAGCAGGAATGTGCTACACACGGTCTTCCCAGGGCCCAGGAGGCGGGGGCTGGGCACAGAGACGAGACCAGGGTCTGCTCTGTCTTCCCTGCAGGGGACATCTCCCACTGTTCCCACTTCCTGTCCAACCCATCAGCCAAGCCTCAACCAGGGGTTTGTCCCTACATCCCACCGCTGACCTGGGAGAGCCCACTGGTATCACCTCTGTCCCGCCTGGAGGCCCTAGAATGCCAGAATTCCTGGCATTGGTGAATGACACAGACACTAGTCTGGGGACCCACATCTGGTCCCCGGCACCTTTCTGCCCTCTCCTTCCACCTCCGCCTTTCTACAGACAGAAGATGTCCCTGGCAACCTTCCAGCCAGCACAGCCTACTGGAGAGACAGAGGGAGTCACTCTCAGGCCACACAACACCCTGATATTCGGAGCCTCAGGAACCTGGTAACCCACAAGCCAAAGCCCATAAAGAAATACAGTGACTGGAGTGCTATGTAGACACAGGTGTGGTGACCAGCTGAAGCAGCTGGTGGCAGTAACCCTCTTATCCATCACAAAAGGAGATGGGTGCAGAGGGGCCACATTCCACCCACCTCATCTGGAGTGGGCAGCGGGTACAAGGACCCTGGTCGCCTCCTGCTCCCTTGTCCCTCTCCCAGCCTAGCTTCCTCTGGTTACCCCCATTCTCTGGATGCCAGTGGTCATTCTAACACCTCTTATCTGACCCTTGGTACTGCTGTCTGTGTCCTCCTCCCATGTGTCCCTCTCTTGTAACCAGAATGGCTAGGGTCTCAACTCTTCAGAGCCCCTGGAAAGGTCGGCCAGGCATTCTGCAGGCCGGTGGCACTTGGAATGGACCCTGGGAGATGTTGGTGACCTCCTTCCCTCTCCATTATACGAAGGGTCCTGATAGACCCAACACCCTCTCCACCCTCACGAGTCAGTGTGAAGTCCTCCAAGTCCATGCGTCAATTTCCACCCAAGTAATTGCAGCCCATGACACTCATCATCCCCTCAATCTGAAACTCTCTGCGGTTGTCATGGGAACTGCCTTCGCCTTCATTCACTGATCAGGCTTCGCAATTAGCTCTGGCAGCGGAAGTCTGTGCCAACCGCCATCACGGGGAGGAAGGAGAGGAGGAGGAGGAAAAAGGGAACATACTCCTCTGTCAAGGGGGAGGAGCCAGCCTGAACCAAGGAGCCAGAGCCTTGCCAGGAAAGGTGGTCCCAGCCAGCAGCCCCCAGTGCCCCTGGCTCCACCCGCAGCTTCCAGACCCACAGAGACAGTGTCAGCAGGGCTGGCAGCTGACCGGGGTCAGTCACAGCTTTGCCCACGCTCTGCATTCCCTCAAGAGGGTCTCAACACTTGGTGAGCCCCAGGACCACAGCCTTGGCCACCAAACGTTCTGGGACGTAACAAGGAACCCTGGGTGCTCTAGAGAGGGTGGGACAGGAGTTCCGAGTGGGTCAGAGACCTTCCACCTTGAGAATCAGGAGCATCTGATCCCAGCACTCGCTCTCATTCTCCCCATGTTCCCACCGCCAGCTGTGGGGTCACTTGGAGCCATATGGTCACCCAGGGGGTTTCCAAGGCTGTGTCCCTCCTCCCTCTCACACATCGCGGCATGAAAACGTGGACACGTGGGCCAGGTGCTGTCCCTTCTCCGTGGGCTCGGCAGACTGAGGGTGCCCGAAGGCCGGCCTCTGCGCTCGAGGTATCCCTCCCCTACACGCCTGCAGCCTGCACTGTAATTACGGGTTCCCACGGGCCTCCCTCCCCACATGGCGCTCATTAAGCCGAGGCAGCCTCTGCCCTCTGCCAGTCTAAGAACAAACAGCGTCGGAGAGGGGCTGTCCTCCCAGACACAGGGACACGGCAGGTCGCGGGGTCCAGGGAATGTTCCGGAAGGTCCTGCCATCAGTTCTCTTTACTCTGCCCCATGACCCCACTCCCGGCCCCAGCTCACCCTGCAGCAGGACCACACTGCTTACAGGACTCTGGCCTCTCTCAGAGATAGCTGGTCACCACTCCTGGAAGCAAAGGTCACTCATGCGCCAGCCAGGGACCTGTGGCACCCGGAGTTACCCTCCCAGGGCAGAGCATGCACTTAGAAAAGCAACCCAGGCCACACTGTCAAGTCCAGTCTGGCTCTGACCATCCACCGCATTCCCTGGGCTATGTCCATAGGAGCACACTGGCTATCTTTCTCCTTGATGAAGCTGGCCGGGTCCAATAAAGAACCCACCACACCACCAGGGCTCCTTCACAATCAGTAGAGAGCTAACCAATGTTCTCCCCACAACAACAGTCCTCAGTGAAGCAGCTCTGGGCCTCGGCTGACCCTAACCCGTCCACATCCCTTTCCACGCCCCCATGGGAGCAGTCAGAGGCGTGAGAGACGCCTAGCAAACACCCTCTCTGGTGCTATCCGCTGGGCACCTCTTCCAGGAATCTAGGCTGGCAGGTACCACGTGGGAGGGGCTTTATCTTACCCACTAACTTCCGGCTGGATGTGGGCAGGGGTGGGGTGCAGCAGTCAGAACCCTGCCAGT